GCAGCACCTCCAGAGCCTTTGGTACGTCACTCTTCTCGAGTGTATGTACCCCGGATAGGTATGGGTTTTCTTCTGGCACTTCTATTTCAGCTTTTACTGTTGCATTGTCCAATTTTGATATTCCCACATGCTACTCACATGCTGTTAAGCATGACTGTTGGCGACAAGCTATGCAGGAAGAAATTGCTGCTCTAGAGGCCAATCACACCTGGGACATTGAGCCTTGCCCTTCCACTGTAGTTCCTCTGGGTTGCAAATGGGTTTACTCAGTTAAGGTTCACTCTGATGGAAGTTTGGATCGTTATAAAGCTCAACTTGTTGTCCTTGGGAACAATCAGGAATATGGTGTCAATTATGAGGAAACCTTTGCTCCTATGGGTAAGATGACTACTATTTGTATGATCCTAGCTCTTGCTGCTTCCAATGATTAGCCCCTATATCAGATGGATGTTAAGAATGTTTTCCTTCACGGGGATCTTAAAGAGTGTATTTATATGAAGCCACCCAAGGGATTGTCTCCCTCTTTGACCTCCAATGTGTGTAAACTTCGTCATTCTCTTTATCGTCTCAAACAAGCTTTACGGGCCTGGTTTGATAAATTTCGAATCACTTTATTATAATTTTCCTTCAAGTAGAGCAAGTATGACACTTCATTGTTTCTTCGGAAATCAGACATGAGTATTGTTGTCCTTTTTGGTTTATGTTGATGACATTGTGATCACTGGTTCTTATTCTGCTTTACTTGTCCAGCTCAAGACCCATCTCTCAAAATCCTTTCATATGAAAGATCTTGTGTCTCTCACGTATTTTCTTGGTCTTGAGGTGCATCGTAGTCCATCTAGTATTTCACTAAATCAACATAAGTATGCTAGTGATTTGGTGGCTACAGCTGGATTGCAGAAAGCTACCTATGTCGATACTCCCATGGAATTAAATGTCAAGCTTCACAAAGAGGAGGGTGACTAACTTGTTGATCCCAGTTTATATCGAAAATTGGTGGGTAGCCTTGTCTATCTCACCATCACTAGACCAGATATTTCTTTTGCTGTACAGCAAGTCAACCAGTTTCTTTAGACTCCTCGTCATCTTCATTTGGCTGCTGTCCGTAGGATCATACGCTATGTTCATGGCACTTCTGCCCGTGGCTTATTCTCTCTTGCAGGCAATTCTCCTCGTCTTGTTGCTTATAACGATGCTGATTGGGCTAGTTGAGCTGATACACGTCGCTCCATCACTGGTTGGTGCGTGTTCTTAGGTGATGCATTGATCTCCTGGAGGAGTAAGAAGCAAGACAGAGTTTCTAAGTCATCTACAGAATCTGAGTACCGAGCGATGTCTCTTGCTTGTTCCAAAATTATTTGGCTTCGAGGTTTGTTTGCTGAGTTAGACTTCTCTGAAACCAATCCTACACCTTTACACGCCGATAATACAAGTGCTATTCAGATCACGGCCAATCCTGTCTATCATGAGCTCACAAAGCATATTAAAGTCGATTGTCACTCTATCGGTGAAGCTTTTGAAGCTCGTGTTATCACTCTTTCACACGTTTCCACTGAACTACAAATTGCTGATATCTTCACTAAGGCTCTCACTCGTCATCGGCATTGCTTCCTAAGTAGCAAATTGATGCTTGTTGATCAACCCGCATCAATTTGGAAGGGGCTGTCAACGGAAAACTTTGCTATCCATATTTATTTCCAGATTTGTTTCCATATTTGCTTCCTTGATTTATGGTTATTTTAATTAGCTTAATATTTGACACATTGTATAGGGATAATATTAGCAGATTTGTAGCTTTTCTCCATGTATAGAATTCTTTTGTACAGTTTATATAATAGAGAGAAATCACAAGACCATTCATACAACATTTTTGACTTATTTCTGACAAGTTGAGGCTTGTGTACTAGTGTTAGTGAAATCACTCTTGAGTATTGATGCAAGCCTCAAATTTCAACTGTCTAAAGAAGCTCCACAAACTTCCAGAATACTAGAAACTGACAGAAATTGGGAAAACTTTATTCTTGGAAGAGTATAAGTAAAGAATTTGAAGTACCTCCAAAATTTTGTGGCTTTGTGGGCTGTTGAATTCTCTCTCTTGTTGGTGTTCATATTGCACAGTTTGCGCAATATTTTGATTTATTGTGAAGATCTAACTCTCTCGCAGTGGAAATCTAGTCCACTTCTGTATCTTTGTTCTCTTTTTCAGTATACTGGTGTTTCTATAGAAAAGAAAAAAAAAAAAAGTACCTCCAAAATATAGTCTAAATTCGTGGAATAATTTTCCTGTAGAAAACTTTATTGATTGTGTTTGCTCTTGAAACTTTATTTATATTGTTGGGTGCCCTACCTATTAAATCTAGACTTTTGGGATTTTTTGAGTCTACAACATGGTATCAGTATCAATTTGACCTGGATGTTTTACCTCATACTGTAGATTAAAACCATGAAGAATGTGTTTGAACACAAATAATGTTTTTGTGTCACTACCTTTTTTTTTTTTTTTTTTTTTTGTTTGGGAATTAATTCACTAGTACTTTTTATAACCAGTCCAACCTAGGTTTATATATAAATCAGCTTCTGAGTTGAGTTGGTTATTTTGTGTCGTTCATGTTAAATTTATTGAATGCTAGTGCAAACTACAAATTAAGCAAGTGAACATGTATATTAGCTCGAGTTGAGATCTGAATTCTCTATCTTCAAAGTTAAATTTTCAGAATGCTTTGTGCTTGTGAATTTGGCATAAACTTTGCAGATATTTCAAGCTGAATGATTGACTAATTGTTTTGTCTTTTAAACTTTAGGGAGTACCTGAGCGCGTGATGACAGAGGTGTTTATTGCCATGTCAAAGGCACTAAATTTTATTAACCCTGATGAATTGTCAATGCAATGTGTATTGATTGCTTTAAATCGATTTCTTCAGGTACAGTATCCTCTTTTGTTTTCTTAAATTTTTTTCTAATCTCTTGATTGTCCACCAGAAACTTTATACTAACATCTATATCAAAATAATTTAAATGACCTTTGGTAAAGTCTGGCTGGCGATCTAATGTTGGATTAGTGTATAGATGTAAAACTGAACATATCAAGTAACATATCACTTCTATTTTGTTTACCATGACCAAATTTACTCTCAAACGTTTTCTGCTGCTTTCTTTGTGTTTGAAAGTTTTTGGGGTACTTGGTAGCATTTTGCAGAAATGATTTCTCATTTTCAAAGTCTAGAACATGGGAGACAATGTGTTGATTAACAAATTTTAGAAAAATGTTTCATAAAACACAAATCATTTTCTAACTTTTGTAAAGGAAATGACAAAACACTTATCTTGTTTTCACCATTTTCATGATTCTTTTGTGAAAAACCATAAAACATTTTTGAGCTTTTGAGTTCTTATTAATATTTTTAATTTTTTTTTAACTGTTAAGTAATTTAATAAGTTATTCTAGTAATAATATATCGAAAACATAGTTTTTTCCTTCCAAAGAACTCCATTGAACACATTTGCACTATTTTCATTTTCATAATACTGTCTTTTAAGAATGATACTACACATTCTCAAAATTTGGTTATTTTTGTGTTGACACTTGACATACTAACGGTATTGATGGTTATTTTTGTGTTGTATGGACAATAGATATTTTGACATGGGGATAGAACCATTTTTTTAGGATTGTTTGCATATATGTGTTAGATCGTGTACATGGGTGGGCATTTTTTTGTTAGTTATGCACAAATAGATAGGTAGAAAAAGGAAAATGTGGGTGCATGTTGTTCTTTTGGGTTATGCACATGTGATAGTGCATTTTGGATTTTTATTGCTCATCATGCATAAAAATCCATGTATGGACTATATATATATTGTGTCCATTATTTTGTTCATGTTGAATGTATAATGTAGGTCAATACGAAATGCTCTAAAAAAAAAACACATTCTGCAACTAATTTTTTAGTAGCAAAAAGTCATTTAGCATAATTGCATTCCGCTGGAGGTCAATATGAAATGCTCTAAAAAAATACATTCTACAACTAATGTTTTAATAGCAAAAAGTAATTTAGTATAATTGCTTCCATATTCAGCGTCTAAAAAATAGTCGCGATAACATTTTAGATTTCACATTCAGCGTCTGAAATGATTACAATTAACCACTAAATTTTTGTCACTAAAAGATAAATTTGGCCACTAATAAAACAGTCATAAAAACCTATTGGATTTCACATTCAGCGTCTAAAATGACTATAATTAACTACTAAATTTTGGTCACCAAAAGATACATTCAGCCACTAATAAAATAGTAACGAAAACCTATTGGATTCCATAGTCAGCATTTAAAATTACTATAATTAACTACTAAATTTTGGTCACCAAAAGATGCATTCGGCCACTAATAAAATAGTTGCGAAAACCGTTTGGATTCTACATTCAGCGTCTAAAAGAGTTACAATTAGCCACTAAATTTTGGTCACAAAAAGATACATTCGTCGACTAATAAAATAGTTGCGAAAGCCTTTTACGAAATTACCCTTACACCTTTGGCATCTAATTTGTGTGGGATTCGCGACAAATTATTAGACACTAAAACTGACATTTTGCAACTAATTGATTAGTCGCTATACAATTTTACCAAATTACCCTTGAACTTTTAGCGTCTAAGTTGGGGGACTATTTTGACCAGCATTTACCGACTATTTTGCTAGTCGCAAAAAAAAAAAACTTTTTGTGTCTAAACCACAATATAGACGCGCTATGAATCTGCGACCAGCCTACTGCAACTAAGGGGGTGACAGCCAAATTTAGACGCTAAAAATGGCTTAGCGTCTAAATGTGACTTTTTGCGTCTAATTTTGCTAGATGCAGAATGCCAGTTTTCTTATAGTGCTTTTAGGTTGCCCATGGTTGAAGAAGAGATTTTCTTTAGCTTCTGCTTGATGTTGTCTTATAGTATCTAGTAATATTGCTTTTTGGTTGTGTATTGAGTTTCATCTGTGCGTCTCCTTCTTTTATAGAAGTCCTCTATTGAGTGTGTACGCCGACATGTCTGTAACATGTAAGGTAAAATTCTAATTTATTGACTCCCTGTTGGCTATTTTTCTCTCCTTGTTGAAGGCATATATACTAAACCACAGCATTTTTTTGTTTGCCTATACCTTTAAATTCATTATTTCTACCCTACACCGTACCCTTGACTAGTGGGAAATAACAGAAACTTTTAAATTTTGACCTGGTAATGGTCAGCTTTTGCTTAACATATTGCAAGCATGGGTAGCTGTGCTGGTTAGGCACCACATGAAGGAACTACCCTGTTATGTTTAAATATTTAGGAAAAAATTGATATTGACAGTTAATTGTATGCTCTTCTCTGTTAAATATGTTGGACAGTATATAAGTCGATGTCTATCTTTTTACCCAGTTTTCTTATTCAAAGTATAGACCAACTGCATTAACTGCATCTTTCTTTTATTATGCATAAAGTGGTTAATTCGTGATTCCTTGTTTTATGTAGGAATATTACAACCCTAACCAATCCATGCTGGAGTTAGTTTTTGCCCCTGCTGAAGAATGGATCTCACGCAGTGACTCAGAAATAATTGATGCGACAATGAAGGATCTTGCTAAACTCTTTCCTGACGAAATTTCTGCTGATCGAAGCAAAGCAAAAATTGTGAAGTACCATGTTGTAAAAACACCAAGGTTAGATGGCCAACCTTTTAAACCTTTCTGTAAATTTCAAAGGTTCCAATCCTAGATTTATTTAACATAGTAAGTTTTTGTTGATGCAACAAATTATCTTCAATATCACTAGAATTTGTGACATCTGCATGGATTGGGAAAGAGAATTTCTGATCGGGTTATTGTGACATCCCACATTACTTGTGAAGTCTCTGATGTTAATAAGGGATGAAGTTGCTTACATCTTTAAAACACATGCATGTTGGGTTATTAAAGCTCAAAAAAAAAAAAAAAAAAAAAAATTGCACAGTTATTTCAGTGCGAAATAACTCTTGAGATTAAAAGTAGAGTGTCTTGTAAATTGTGAGTATGATAGATGGCATTAAGGCCAATCCCGATCGAAGTGTCGGATATTAATTGAATTTAATTGAAATAACAATAATAATTATTAAAATATCTAAATGGAGCTGTTTGGACATAGGAGTTGTTTGGGTTGGTGCACAAGCTCATTCCATGATGGAATAGGGTATAGTGTGCACTATATAAGTGTAACACTTTGTGAAATAATTTAATTGAATGCATTTTCATTCACAAAGCAAAAACTCCAGCCCCTTTCTCTCCCACGCTAGATTTCTTCTTAGTTCTTAAGGCTAAAGAGGATCTAGCAAATCCCTCTTTAGTTCCTTGGGGTTGTCTTCGTGTGGACTACATTGGTTCGATCCTACTCTTGGGTCGATAGCGAAATCCATTCAGAGACAAGTTGGAGGAGCCTCCAGACGTGCGTATGATTTCTTAACTCTAGACTAAATTTTCTATAGATTCTTATTTAATGTGTAAACTGTAATTTTGTACCTTGATCTTGGTTCTAAGGAACGATCGATATTGTAAATAATTTTTGTTTTCCGCTGCCATGACTTGATTGTTTCCTTACATCTGGTTAGGGAGAGAGCTATGGAACTTACAAAACTGAAGAAAACAATTAACAACTCTCGGCTTGCTCACGATTTGGGGCTCCCCTTATCCATTTTCAAAGCCTAATGAGCTCGCATGCTTGGCGGGTTTGGAGATTGATAAGGTCTGTTTGGCTTGTCATGGCCTTTGCTACAGCGGCTTGGTGTATCCCTTTGGATGTCAGTAGTTTATGTTTGATTGGTTTAATCGGGTGGTTTTTCTTTTGGATGTTGATTTGTTTGGTTAGCCTCGGTTGAGGGGTGTTTTTGTTTGTGATTTGTTGCTTTGTATTGCAGTTAGCTAGTAGTCCTTATGATTACTTGATTCTTTTGTGCCTAACCTAGGGTCTAAACTATGGTAGGTTGGCTAGTTTTTTTTATGGCTTTTCTTGTAAAGTTTTTCTTTTTTAATGAATATTTACTTACCCCAACAAAAAAAAAAAAAGAAAAAAGAAAAAAAGAAAAGCTCGTATCGAGCCCAGCAACATGGCACATTTAGCACAAAAATTCCATGAGAGGCTTGCCTAGTAGAAACCCAAACGCAATGCCTGAAAGTCCTAAATGGGCATTTCAACTTAAAATGGCCATAACTTTTAATATCAAGTGGATTTACGGGGCCTGTAAGATATCAACAAAAATCTTGTTTTGAGCTCAACAACGTGGCACATCTAGCACAAGAATTCCTAGAGAGGGCTACGCGTCAGAAACCCAAACATAATGCAAAAAAGTCTTAAATGAGCACGCCAACTTAAAATGGTCATAACTTTTGATTGAGGAGGATTTATGGGGTACGTAAGATATCAACAGAAAGCTCTTTCTGAGCTCAACAATGTGACACATCTAGCACAAGAATTATTGGATAGGAATGCACGTCAGAAGCCCAAATGCAAGGCCTAGAAATCATAAATGGGCATGTCAACTTTAAATGGCATAAATTTTTATCCAAAAAGAGTTATAGGGCCTGTAAGATATCAAAAGAAAGCTCATTTTGAGCCTAACAATGTGGTACATCTAGCACAAGAATTCTATGAGAGCGTTGTACCTCAGACGTCCAAACATAAGTCCTAAATGGGCATGTCAATGTAAAGTAACCATAATTTTTTATCTGGGAGGAGTTACGGGGCCCGTAAGATATCAACGAAAAGCTCATTTTGAGCCTAACTACATGGCACATCTAGCATAGGAATTCCTGGAGAGGGTTACACATCAAAAACCCAGATGCAATGCCAAAAAGTCCTAAATGGGCATGCCAAATTAAAACGGCCATAACTTTTGATCTAGGAGTACTAACGAGGCATGTATGATATCAATGGAAAGCTTATTTCAAGCCCAACAATGTGGCATGTGTAGTACAAGAATTATTGGAGAGGGTTATGCATCAAAAGCCCAAAGGGAAGGTCCAAAAGTCGTAAATGTGCATTCCAACCTAAAACGGTCATAACTGTTGATCCGAGAGGATTTACAGGGCCCATAAGATATCAACGGAAAGCTCATTTCAAGCCCAAAAAGGTGGCATGTCTAGTGAAAGAATTCTTCAAGAGGGTTGCGCGTCAAAAGCTCAAACGCAAGGTCCAAAAGTCGTAAATGGGCCTGTCAACTTAGAACTATCATAAATTTTGATATATGAGGAGTTATGGGGCCCGTAAGATATCAACGGAAAGCTCGTTTTGAGCCTAACAACATTGTACATCTAGCACAAGAATTCTTGGTGATGGCTACGCATCAAAACCCCAAAGGAAAGGTCCTAAAGTCGTAAATGGGCATGCCAACTTAAAATGGTCATACTTTTTATTCAAGACGATTTACAAGGCCTAGAAGATATTAACGAAAAGCTCGCTTCGAGGCTAATAATGTGGCACATTTAGCAAAATAATTCATGGAGGGGACTACACTTCAGAAGCCCAAAAGGATGGTCCAAAAGCCGTGAATATGCACCCCAACTTAACACAGTCATAACGTTTGATCCGATAGGATTTATGGGGCCCGTAATATACCAACAAAAGTTTTGTTTCAAGTCCAACAACGTGGCACATCTTGCACAAGAATTTCTGGAGAGGGTTGTGTGTCAAACGGCCAACCGGAAGGCCCAAAATTCCTAAATGGGCATGTTAACTAAACACGGTCATAACTTTTGATCCGAGAGGAATTACAAGGCTCGTAAGATGTCAACAAAAAGCTTGTTTCAAGCCCAACAATGTGACATGTTAGGTACAAGAATTCCTATAGAGGGATGCTTGTCAGAAGCCCAAATACAAGCCGCAGAAGTTCTAAATGGGCATGTCAACTTAAAACGACCATACCTTTTGATCCAGGAGTGGTTATAGGGCTTGTAAGATATCAAAAAAAATACTAATTTCAAGCCCAAAAATGTGACACATCTAGTACAAGAATTCCCCGAGAGGGTTGAGTGCAAGAAGCTCAAACTTATGGCCCAAAATTCCGAAATGGGCATGTCAAATTAACATGACATAACTTTTGATCCAGGAAGAGTTATGAGGCCCGTAAGGTATCAACAGAAAGCTCATTTCGAGCCCAACAACATGGCACATCCAGAACAAGAATTTCATGAGAGCACTATACGTCAAAAGCCCAAACTTAAGGCTCAAAATTCCTAAATGGGCATGTCAACACAAAACAACCATATTTTTTTATCCGAGAGTAGTTACGGGGCCCGTAAGACATCAATGAAAAACTCATTTTGAGCCTACATAGAATGTCTAGCAAAACAATTGCTGGATTAGGCTATGGACAGAAGCCCAAACGCATGGCTAAAAAGTCCTGAACGGGCATGTCAAATTAAAACTACCATAACGTTTGATCTAAGAGCAGTTACAGGGTCCGTAAGATATCAACGGAATGCTTGTTTTGACCCCAACAACATGGCATGTCTAGCAAAAGTATTCTGGACTATGATCAGAAGCTCAAAGGGAAGGTCCAAAAGTCTTAAATGGGCATGTCAACTTAAAACGCCCATAGCTTCTAATACGAGAGGAGTTACAGACCTCATATCAGTAAGATATCAATGGAAAGCTCCTATCAAGCCCAAAAACATGGCATGTCTAGTACAAGAACTCCACGAGAGGCTTGCATGTCAGAAAGCCAAAGGCAAGTCCCAAAGTCCTAAATGAGCATGTCAACTTAAAATGGCCATAACTTTTATCTAGGAGGAGTTATAAGGCCCATAACGTAAAACCCCTCCCTAGCCGAGTATTTCCTAAGTATCCCTTGGCCATTGAGAACCTAGAAAATGCACTCCTAGGAAAGAAATTTATTTTAAAATCCTATTTAAAGAATAAACTTGCAGTTTAAAAATATATATATTTTAATTTTAATTTAATTTCTAAACTATAATAAGTTCATTTTACAAGTCAAAAATATAGTTTCCTTTCTTGGAGTCCATTATGAAATCCATAGTAATACTTACGAGAACATACACACTTTTACAAAATTTACTAGCAATTTGATTTCCTCTATTAACACAAATATATATATTCCATAATAACATGGACATATTTACTGTATTATGAGATGTAAACATAATTACTACACTAAACACTAATAAGACAACTCAATAGTCATAATTAAAATATCCCTTCATGCTCATAGCGTCCCTCGGAATCCTCTCCCAGCTTCATGCCTTAATCCTTACCTGCAAAACATTTTAAAATATTTCGTGGGGTGAGCGCTAATCGTTCAGTAAGGAATATGGCCATTTAAAAACTATTAAGGTTCATTATACAAGTATATTACTTAGGACCTTACCTACCTACAAAACATAACCTTCATTCGTTGACATAACAAGTTCATAAATCATGTCAAACACTTTGGACTTTTCTCATAAACATGAGGCATAACATAACCATACATAATATAACATAGAACATATATGACTTATGAAATATTCATGTACATGGCATGCTTATTTCTTTTGTCTTTATACTTGATGGTTTCATTAATCTTTGTTATCCGATCGGATTCATTTGAACCATTACCTTGTTCTTGGTCGTCACCTCAAAGGACTTATGGTTTCCATAAGAATTCCATTCCTCTGATCCTGGTTTATACCTCAAGAGACTCATGGAATTCATTCTTTAACATTTCATAAATTTTTCATAAGACAACTAAATAAGCTATATGCATTACCATTATGAATGCAAACAT